CTTTTTAAAATATATATACTTTTTTGGTTGCGGTGTTCGAAGTACGTTGACTGGAACACTTTCACGAATGGACACATCGATAACACTGTAACCTCACATGGTAGTAGTAGAAAGCTTATCGCGAGGAGTGGCTCTCGCAGAAGTCTTACGCCGACGGGAGCCAAGCTCGAACTCAATATGTTGATATGAGATAAAATAATACTAATTTTAGACTGATTTTTTTCTCACAGACATTTTAATTTGAATATTATTATTCACACACAATCTATTAACTTTATCACATGTCCAATGTGTTATAGATTGTATCAATAGTTTGTCAGAGTTACAAATTGATTGCTGAAGATTGTGTAAATGTTGCTAAAACGCTAACTATTTACTGGTCTATTGACAAAGTCTGGACGGACAACCCCCGCTCGGAAATGTATTTTTGTTATGGCGTTCACGCAGCCAAAATCTCAGCTGGGAAAAATGAGGATATTTCCGCATCATACGTAAACAATCGAGATCCCCGCCCCCGGGACAGCGTCTTGTCCACCCCACGGTCATTTGCGCCAATCACATAGGCACTAAAGCCCTGACAGTAGCGATTGGTCAGTGCGCCCCACCTCTGAATCGAAGAGTGTGCAAGTTTGTCTGGTTGGTTGCGAATATCCGCTAATTATTGTGGGGGAAATTTACATAAGTCGATCAAGTGTAGTGAATTCGCCATTACAAGTGACCTAGAAGTATGTGTGATGCAGCTGCAAATTGGCGGTAGTAGCTTTCACCTGTTTAATGCGTACATTCCTAATGCGTTTCAACTAGAATCTTGCCATCTAGACAATTAATACGCATAAATATCCGGCCCGGTACTGATGGGGATTTTAATCGCTTAACTTGATTTGGGGATCAAGCAGATCGTAGAGGGAAAATTGTTGGTGAATTTGAGAATTCTGAAGATCTAATGGTCCTGAACGACTGCAGATAATATTCATAATTCAATGCGGGTAACGGCAACTCAACTTGCATTTACCTAATCATCTACACTCCAACTTTATCAAGATATTTGAAATATAACGTGATAGAGGAACTTCATCAGTGATCATTACCCCATAATATTGACATATGAGAATTCGATTACCTCCGAGGAAATCTTTATGCCCAGATGGATATTTTAAAGACCAACTGGAAGTTGTACCAATATATCATTAGAGGCAAAGTTCAGAACCTAAAGAAATTAATCATTGACGTTTCACAACAAATAAACGACATTCTGTTCAACTTTACAGAATTTATACTGTCTACAGTAGAGGTGATTATATCTAAAACAAAAATACTGAATGCAAAAAGAAAATAACTTGGTGGATAAAGGAATTTGAAGAAGGGGTTCCAAATTACAAGCACTGGTTTATTCAAGAAACATAAATCAAATTAAAATCATTTTAGATTTAAGTCAGCACGAGCCAGGGAAAGAAGAATCATAAAAAAATCTAAGAGGATCTGCTAGAAGCTATTGTTTAAGGATGAACATATCATCCTTAAACAATAAACTGATCTGCTCGGAGGCGTGGAAGCAAATTAACGCTATCGATGAAAAATCCAAGGACAAATTACCTGAAGTTTATATACGCAGCAGATGGTCAATTCATCCAAGACCCGTGCGGCATTGCAAATAGCTTTGGAAAGTTTTTCGCCTCCAACTCTAGTGATACAAAACTTGCAGATGGCTCCACGAAACATTAAGAAGAAACAGATATCTCCCCTAAACCTGGAAGTAGAAGAAGATGAAATAGATGATTTCATACAACTGAATTACGCTCCGAGAACTTAAGATCAATATACGTCCACTAAAAGACACCAGTTCGTCAGTTTCGTCCAGCGAGTTATACGCCATCATCGCACTAGAGTACATTCTCGAAGACAGAGAACACACATTTCTAATACTAACAGATTCTAAATTGGCTCTGTCGGCTATTGGAAATGCCTTTTACTTTAGCGTTAGCCTTAGACATTGTTAGTATGATAAGGAACTTGAACGTTAAAGGTAAAGAGATTGGTTTTGGATGGATCCCGACTCATGTGGGTATCATCGAGAATGTGCTGGCAGACATCTGCAAACGAGGTGTCACAGATTGATGAAAGAAGAAACCTTCCCATAATATTACAGGACTATCACGCCAGCATCAAGAGTAAACTACAAGAATTGGACAGACAGGAATCGAACAATAACGCTCGCATCAAATTAAGAAGTATATGCGAATACGAGGATTATCATCCAGCCACATCCATCTGCAGAGCTGACCAGGTTCTGTTAACTAGATGCAGAATAGGTCACATCAAGCTCACACATTCCCATCTGATCACAGGAAAAACGACTGATATATGCAATTTTTCTATGTATCTATTTCTGTGCCGCAGGTCATTTATTTTTATGCCCATATCATCTATTTCTGTGCCCCAGGTTTGAGGCCGATCCGACAAGACATGGTGTCAATAATGACATGGCAAGATTTCTAAAGGACAATACAGTCGGTTTTTCAATTTTTTGAAGGGCATAAACTTGTTTAGTGATGTATAAGAAAAATGTATAAACTGATTAAGAATGTTATGTGAATATTCCCCTTCCTAAGTGTCATAACACTCTATGTACAATAATAATTTTATTGTGTAGATGTCGCTAAAAAAATTGTAGTGGAGGTGACATAAAATAAATAAATTTAAAAAATATTCGTGGTAAACCACCAATTCCTAAAAACAAATTTGAACGGTTTTATAATTTTCAAAATGTTTACACATTTAATAACTGATTTCATTGTATTATTGGAAACTCTTGTACTTTTTGTTTTTCAGGTGACGTTCCAACTTAATAACTGTACATGGTGTCTTCCGCAATTTCGAATTAACGGACAAGGGAAAAAATCCAGGAGGCAAATATACTTGGTAAGAATTTAAACTAACATAACTTGACTGTTATGAACAAGAAATTATAAGAACGATTTATTAATATATGAATGGGCATTTAAAATTATGACACTGTCATTGAGCTAGTGTTACACTATAGGATTACGAATGTTGGAAATTAATTGGTGTTTCTTAGACAACGTTTCACGCCAATTATATTATGACATGGAAGCTTTATTCGCTTTTCGGTTTTCCTGCAATACGTCGAGTTATCTACATATATGTTACTATTTCTTGCAATAAAAAAGACATCTCTTGTGTATTCAAATGTCAAATTTTGCATAAAATCCTTAAACATCATTAGTCAAACATTAGTGTGAAAAAGGCCACAGCAAGATGGCCGAAACGCCAGTACACTTGACCGAGACGCGGCTCATCCCTGATAGCCAAGAATGCGTCAAGAAATGTGCTCTATACAACGAAACTACTTGCTTAAAAAGACTTACAACACTTCAATCTCCAAAAGATATAGAAAGCGATTCGAGATAACAATACTTGGAAATGGAATAAATTGATATTAGCTTTGACTTTAATGGACCTTCTTTTTTTACTAGATTATTTTAACGATCTTGTTCGTGCTATCTAAAAAAGGTACCGAAATTTGTCTCTACACAGAAATACTGAATCTATTTCAGTTCTATACTTAAACTTTTTGAAATTCGTCAACAAGAGACATTCGGTTTTGAAATAAAATGGTTTGAATATTTGTTTACACATTCATTATGTTATAGATACAATTGATATCGAAAATAAACTTTAATAATGATGATTCTTCACTTACTAAATGAAACAAAATTTGTATGTAGTTAAGTATGCAGTCATGCATTGCATGTCAATGCAACGCTCGGATTGGTTTGTATAAGGATTATAACTTTTGTTTGTATAAGGAGTCTGCTATATAGTTCAGGAATTTTTGTTATTTCGAATTCTTAGCGATAGTTTTGTCTGACAACGCTTATGAGATTTTTTTAAAATGCCTAAACACTCGCCATGCTTCGTGAAACTATTCTTTTCGTACCGGCTTTGTTTAGCTCATAGCAAAACAGCTAAATCAGAAATATTTTCTTCGCAACTTAACGGTAGGTTCTAAATTTCTAACCCCAGTAGAGATGGATTTTCGACTAGAGAGATAGCTTCGTCGAATTAAGCCCTGACTGGAGGAGAATTCTTGCGGCCAGCAGCTCTAATACGTAGTTTTCCGTGGTTTCTCTGATTAATAACAGGTGAATTTCAGCGCAGTACCTTAAATTAGTCATGGACAACGGGCGATCTCTTCTTTCCCATATTCTCTCTCCTCTCTCTTTACAAATACACATTTACACGCACTACAATACCATACACGTTGAGAAACTTTAGTTTAGAGCTTGTTCGGGTTACGGCGGTGCCCTGCAAGAGGCAATGCCTAAAGAGGGAAACCCCGGATGTCGAAATGTAGATCGGCACGGTACTTCACTTTTCGGTGGGAGAGGAATGCAGCTCCCTACCGGGATATAACATGGTCTACACTTACGGAGTAAATGGTCATAGCTGTTGACGGACCCGGAAACACAATAAACAATCATAATAAATTTACTTCTCATTAATTTACTCTTAGGAACATTTGAAAATAATATTGATATAATTAAAATATAACTGAAAATAAACATTCCTCAATTTTGTACATTTTGCTTCCAACTACCTTTAAAAACATTGTACAATTTTTTCTCTACTAGAATTCTTATGAAAGTGTTTCGAAGAATTAGTAGTATGATTTATCAAACCAATACGCAAAATGTTTTGAAATCGAATTATGAATAGAATTCCGGCCATATTCCTTGTTTATTCAAAATTTCTATAGGCGGAATTATTCACAGAAAATAATATAATGTATTTTCGTTTCCCTGCCTACCCTTTCTCATTGGTTTTGTAAATGCAAGTGATGCAGTGATGTTTTCGAAAAGTGTATGCAACGAATATCTTTATCAAACACAATGGAATTTTTATATTTATATTTATATTTGTATTCATTTGTATATCAATTTTTCTATTTCTATTTCTTTATTATGGTTGCGATTGCGCAGCAAGTGGCGAGGTGCCGCGCGAGATGCGAGGGACGTGGGCGGCGGCGAGCGCCGCTGCGCTGCTGCTCGTCCTGAGCCTGCTGAGCGGGCGCGCCGCCGGCCACGCGCACCACCACTACTGCCACGCCCACTCCTCGGAGAAGCTGAGCTGTGACAGCGCTCCGTACGCCGACCTCGCCTACCTGCGCGCGCGCCCCGCCCTAGCCCAAGTGCGCGACCTCAGCGTGCAGCACGGGAACGTGCCTGAGCTCAGCGACTCCGCCCTGCGGGGCCTCGACCTGCACGTGCTCAGCCTATCCGACAACGGAATCTCCGTCGTCCACCGCAAGGCCTTCCACGGCCAGCGCTCGCTCCACTTCCTGCAGCTCGCCTTTAACAACATTCGTAACCTGCATCGCGACACATTTGTCGGCCTCGATGAGCTTAACACACTCGACATCAACGACAATTTGCTCACCGATGTCGGTGCGTTGCATTATTTGCCGCAAGTGTTTCTCCTGAGTATCAAAGGAAATTTTATAACTGCCGTTGAGAAAGATTCCTTCTATAGTCCCAACTTAAGAGTCCTCAATTTTGCCGAAAATGAAATTTCGCGTATTGAGGCAGGGGCGTTCGAAAATTGCCCGAATTTAGAAACGCTCGATTTGTCAGACAATTATATCACACATCTTCCAAAAGATGCATTTCGAAACACAAAATTGTTTGAATTAAAGTTAAATAGGAACAAAATTGTGTCTGTGGAATTTGCGCAGAACATTTCTTCATTACGATACTTAATATTGTCACATAATTCGATTTCTACGGTACCTCGCTCAGCTTTCTTCGGAGCAACTCAACTGTATCATTTAAATCTAGCTCACAACAAGATCTCAACCATAGCAGATGATGCCTTCCATAATTTGTTGAACTTGGGTGACTTGAACTTGTCGCATAACTGTCTGAGCTCCTTGCCCGCGTCAGCATTCTTCGGCACGCCGTACTTGCAGAGGCTCAACTTGGAGCACAACCTGTTGACGCGCTTGGACTTCCGCCAGAGCAGCCTTACACACCTGTATGCGAGCTGGAACGCGCTGACGAGCGTGCGCGCGCAGGACTTGCCGAGCGCCGCGCGCACGCTGCAGGTGCTGGATGTGTCGCACAACCCTCTGAAGCGGCTGCGCACGGAGGCGATGGCGGCACTGGGCAGCCTGGCGGTGCTGCGCGCGCAGCACGCGTCAATGGAGACGCTGGACGCGGACGCGCTCGCCGCTGCCACGCAGCTCACCGACGTCGACCTCAGCCACAACCGCCTGGTGGGCGTGGCCGTGCACGACACGCCGCACATGCGCCGCCTGCGTATGCGCGCCAACGCCGTCGCCGCGCTCGCCAACGGCACCTTCACCAACGTCACGCTCGACCACCTAGTCGTCGACCTCTCCAACAACGGCATCCACGAGGTGGAGAGTCACGCCTTCTACGGACTCGAGGAGGTGGCCTCCCTTAATCTCTCAGGGAACAGCATCGCATACCTACATAACAACACTTTCAGAACGCTCAGCAGCATTTGGGATCTTGATTTGAGTTACAATAAGATATCGAAACTGAATTTCCTGCGCAATATTTCTAGTATGAGGCAACTTAATATGACTCACAACAGTATAACAACATTATCGGAATACACATTTGTTTCTTCCACAATTCCTCTTCTTTTCTATATTGACTTCTCATCGAATTTTATTTCCGAAATCAAACATAATGCATTTAAAGGGTTAAAAAATTTGTGGGATTTGAAACTGTCAAATAATAGCATTTCGTTCCTCCCAGTTGATACATTTAAGGATACTACAAGTCTCTGGGACCTGAATCTCAGCCTGAACAATCTATCCAGTTTCGAGTGGCTGTCCATTCCCAGTCTGCGGAAACTCAATCTCTCCGGCAACGCTGTGACAGTTCTTCCGGACGGCGTGTTCACTGGCTTAAACACGACGGCCCTCACTGAACTGGATTTGTCCGCGAACGGGCTGGGGGCGGTGGAGGAGGGCGCCCTGGCCGGGCTGCGGCACCTGGAGTTCCTGGACTTGTCGCGCAACGCTCTGCGCGCCCTCCCCGCCTCGGCCCTGGCCACGCCGGCGCTGGCGCACCTCGACCTCAGCGACAACGCCCTCGCGACCGCGCCGCCGCTCCCGCCGCTGCCCGCCCTTCGCTCCTACGATCTCTCGGGCAACCGGCTGTCGTCGCTGCCCGCGGAGGCGCTGGCTGGCGCGGCGGGACTGCGGGTGCTGCGCGCGTCTCGTAACGCCCTCGAGGCCTTGGACAACAGCTCCGCGTTGGCACTGCCGCGCCTGCAGGAGCTGTACGTGGCGGACAACCGCATTACCAGCGTGGAGGCCAACGCGCTGGCGGGCTGCCCGGCGCTGCTGCGTCTCGACCTGCGCGGCAACCACTTGACGCGCGTGCCGCCGCTGCGCCTGGCGGAGCTGCGCCACCTGCGCCTGGCCGCCAATGCCCTGCGCCACCTGGACGACGACGCGTTCGCTGCGGTCGGCGTCCCGTCGCTCGTGTTGCTGGACGTGTCACGTAATGCGATCGAGTCCGTGGGGCCCGAGGCGTTCCAGCGGCTGCGCCTCCTCAAGTACCTGGACCTGTCGGACAACGCGTTGACTGCGCTGCCCGCGGTCACCTTTGCCAACAACAGTGTGCTGTGGGCGCTGGACGTGAGCGGCAATCGGCTGGCGCAACTGGATGCGTTGCGCGACCTGCCCGGCCTGGAGGTGCTGAACGCGTCACGCAACGCCGTGCGCGTCGTGGCGCACAAGCCGTCCGGCAAGGGCCGGCGTGCGCGGCTAGCGCTGCTGGACTTGTCGCACAACGCTCTGTCGCTGGTGAAGAGCCGCGCGCTGGCGGGGCTGGGCAAGCTGCGCGCGCTCGACCTTTCGCACAACCGCCTGCAGCGCCTGCCGGCCTCCGTGCTGGACGACGCGCGCCGCCTGGCGGCGTTGCGCTGCTCGGGCAACCCGCTGCGCACGCAGTGCCCACACGACCCCTCCGCCGCCTCCGCCGCCTCCGCCGCCTCAACTGCCCTCGCCGACCCCGAGGCGCACATGGCCTCCGAACTGCAGCGGCTGGCGCTGCGCCGGCGGTTGCGTTGGCACACGCGCAGGTAGAGCCCCCTGCCCCCCTGGGTCGCGGACATTCCGAGCTGTTCTTCCGTTCCAGCGTTGTTATTACATTACTCTGCTTCGGAATATTTAAGTTTATATTTACGTGATGACTAAACCTCCTACGAAAACAGTTCGAGGGCCGTAGTGGAAGTATTAGAAATAGCGCAGATAAAAACTTTCAAATACTCCTCTTATAACTTGACAGAGGAGATCAAATCTTTCCGATTAACAATTTCTTATTTATCAGTTAAATTGTACTGTTGTTATTAACGTTTACAGTATATTATAAAGATTTTTGTGAGAACATCGCATTAATATAGTTAAATGTTCTTAACAACTTCGTTTCTTGCGAGTTGTTGATGTAGGAATGAGAATTGCCGACAATATAAGTTGGTCAGCAGTCTTCATTCAGTAGAAAATGAGGAACTAAGAATTACTGCGGAATCCCTGAGTTTGCAAATTTCTCTTTCATTTTCTATAATAATTTATATTTTGTATTTATAGTTATTTCGGAAATGCATTTAAATGTAGTGTCTATAAGACTGTTTTAATTGTGTCATTATTTTTACCTAGATCTATCTATTTTTACCTTTACCTACTTTATTGTATATGTAGATTAAACGATTAAACGATTATAAGAAGGATTAAACGATTTTAAGTTTAACCACCAGGTAACACTCAACTCTCCTTCAGACTGCTATGAGTAATTTTAAGTATCATGCATGGTAGTGTAGATACTTTCAAATTTTGTAACTTTCTTTAAATTGCGTACATTACATTTCCTGTCGAGATATTTTTATTGAGACTCGACTGTGATTAATTTTTAGCACCTGACACATATGATTTCTGATTTTGTTTCCAATACGTAGCACACCCTACAAGAATTTTGATCGCGCTAGTTTAATGGCTATCATAAGTAGCATTTTTATCGTTTTATCTTAAATGTAAGTTACAATATAATAAGGAATGTTATATATGATCATGTAACAACAGTACTGAAAAAAGACGAATATTTCTTTGTGCATCAATTAAACTGAGAAAAAATGAACCAAAATAATAATTCCATTAATCATAATCGTCATCATAGATCAAAAATATTTAAAAATAAATCATATAATAATACAACATGGATTAATCTTTTGGTGTCTTCCCATACGGCTGCATTGGCCATCTCATAGTTTCCTACGCCCATCTCCTGTTTCCATGAGACTTGTATATACATTCCAACTAAAATATATCTACGCTATTTATTCTTTACTAATGTTCTTCTATGTTCTTTTCGTTTGTTGAGGAGTTTCCAAAATTGTAAATCTTACCTAATTTTTTCATTTATAATAAAAGTAGCAGGTTCCAATATGTTTGTATAAGCGTAAGAAACATCGTTTGTATAAGTATAAGAAAATCTACTATTTTTAGCGATTTGAATATATTTGGTGTGATTTAGTACTTTCATCACTTTTTGCAGATTGACTGAATATATAATTTCGGCCTGTTTTTTTGCTATTGCCAAGACAAACTAAAATGTAACGAATTTTAAACGGTGACTGGAACATTAACGAATTAAGATTTACGAGTTGGTGTTAGTGTCAAAACCAATAAACATATCAATTTCTTTTAGATATTATATAACTGTGCTATTTTAATTACTAAAAGATTTTTATTATATTTCTGTGATGAGTGATGATTTGGTTGATTTGAACTTTACGAGGACGGTATATCAAAACAGTTTTGAATTTGTGTTTCAGATTTAATTTATTCTATATTTTCAAGACCAATTTTCACTTAATATCTTTTATCTATCTACGGTAAAGTATAGTCCACTGATTGTATTAAAGAGTAACAGCTTAAGTGGACAACAATCTACAGAGCTACATTGCCAAATTTCGTAAGTATTAGCTTTCAATAAATTTTGCAAACAACGCACTTTCTCATTCGAGTATCGAATCATAATTTTTTGAATATATATAGCAATCTTACACTTTCAAAATATTAAGCTAACTGCTTCTTGCTCTTATTTGAGTTTCTTGTATTCCAATTTTATCACGTTCATTAAAACACATTCGGAACATGGAAACTAATCATTCTACTCTATTTACTCTCTACACTCTCAAAGCCGACCTTCTGAAAGCCTTCACACAAATAAACAGTAATTTAGATCACCATATCCGAAGGCTGGAAGTGGTCGTTCTCTTTACAGACCATTATCAAATAGATTTTCCTCGCCTTCCTGATCCTCACAACCTTCTCTGCCATCGACAAACCAACGCAAACACGCTAGGAAGCGCGTCAAAACCAAAACACGTAAAGCTACACATCCTATCCAAGTTAAAAACAAAGACAATCCTACTGAGCCTCAAAAACAAGTTCTTATTTTAGCTGACAGCCATTTTTCCTGCATTCTCAGTAGGAAGTTACCCTACAACTACTCAATCTCATCTATTTTTAAACCTAACCGGAGGTTTGCAGACGTGACTGCAGAGTTGGACACCAACACAAAGACACTGACCAATCAGGACATAGTCATTATCATGGCAAGGCAAAATGACATTAATTTAGGCGGTAACTTTACACCTGAACAACATGTAAACAAATTACAACGTGTCACCCAAAACCCTAACATTGTAGTCTCGACTATGCTCTTCTAGTACAACAGACTAACACTATGCAGCGAGATTAAGCACACAAACCAACAATTAAATCTGCAACTGAGAGAAACAAATGTTACACTTTTTTTAAATTAATTTCCTCTCAGCAAAACACTTTACCCGGCATGGTTTCCACATGAACCTTGCTGGAAAACATACAGTCAGCAACAAGCTTGCACAACACATCATCTACTCCAGTCCTATGCACTCTCCTGTCATAGTTCCATCTCTTTCACCTTTCTTAATTTCTCCACACCCCAACCCTTGTTTCGAACCCACTTACCTCCTCCTCTGATCCCGTATCTCCCCCTCCCACTTCCAATTCTCCTACACCTGATGACACATTTTCCTCACAGCCTGTCACTGTCGAGACACACTCCAATCTTCAACCACGCATTCGATGTAAAAATGGAGTAAATATATAGAAACTACAGTCAAGTGCAGTAGAAAAAACATCCGTGTAGGTACTTGGAAAAGATAAACATACTGCACCATAATGTTCAATCCCTTTCAAATAAAACTGAGTTTATCGTAGCAGCTCTACAGCTAAATCAAATGGATGTTTTTTGATTTACAGAACATTGGTTATTTCATAATGATCTTAGGATTTTCCAAATTCCAAACTTTTACCTCGCAGGATATTATTGTAGAGAAAAGGAATCACATAGAGGTCCTGCATATGGGAGTTCTTGCATTTACGTTCGAAATAATATAGATTCTATTTCCTTGACAGAAATGTTTTTGAAATATCTGTAGTACATCTTCCTATGCTAAATGTTATATTACTTTGCATCTACATGTCTCCAATAAAGAGAGCAGTAGATTATATAAAGTTCTTATAAAACTGGAGATACCAATAAATATAGAACCCATCGCTCTTTTGAATCCATTTTTAAATGTGGAGATTTTAACATTGATTTCTGGTATAATCTTGCGAGAAAGAGCAGTTCTTCAATTTAATTCATTCCTTCAGTTTAGATATTGTACTGTAATAATTGTAATTGGTATTGTAATAAATGTACCTGCACGGATCACACTAAATTCAAAGAAGTCAATCGATCAAATAATAATTAATAAAACCACTACTTGATATGATATTGAAACAAAATATTTAAAATACAATGATCACGATGCCCAAATACTTACCATTATAGGAAATGCGAACACTGACACAATAAATACTACACGTATGAGTAGATTATTTACTAAAAGTAAAATAAAAGTATTCATCAATTACTTGCTGCAACAATCAAGGGACGCAGATTACAATACTGTTGATACAAGCGATAAATTCAATTCTTTTTTTTTCAACGCTTTAATTTCATTTTAACACTTGCTTACCTCGTCAAAAGAGAAAATTAAATATTTCACGGAATAGCAATTCTTGGAAAACACAAGGGATTAAGACATCCTAGAGAAACAAACGAATTCTTTCTTTCATTTCTAAGCATCATAACGTATCTGAATATTTCCTCCTCTGCTTTGAAAAATACAAGTCATTTTTAAGACAAGTCATACGGCAGGCTAAAATCATGACAATATGACCATGATACTTTGAACTCAAATAATAAAACAAAAGCAATGTGGAATACAGTACAAAAATTCTACCAAATCAACTAGAAATCTTGTAGAGAATGTAGTTTAAAAAGATAACGATAGAAATGTGAACGATCCGACAACTGTGGCTAGTGTCTTTAACCAATACTTTCGAACATTGCTGCCGATCTCACTAACGGTCTTCAGTCAAAAAATTCAGCATCAGTCGTTTCCCCAAAAATTTCAGGCACGATATTTGTTTCCGAAACTTCTTCCTATGCAATTCTCAAAATAACGGTAGACTAAAAAATAAATATTCTGCCGGTTTAGATGAATTTCCGGATTGTTTGTTAAAGGTTTGCGTACCCGCAATTATGCACCCGTTAATTCACATATTTAATGTATCTTTATACACAGGCATTGTTCCAGATATTTTTAAAACAGCTAAGATTAAGCCGATTTTCTAAAATGGCAACAAATATAAAATTCAAAATTACCGACCATTTTCTCTTATGTCATTTTTTAAAAAAATATTAGAGGGGCATTTTTACGTATGAATGGACACATACCTTTGTAAACACGACGCGTTTTCAAATTGCCAATATGGATTTCGAAAATCAAAATCTACGGAAACAAAAATATTTTCTTTTCTGAAAGATGTCGCCTCATAAATGGATCAAAACGAAGCACATATTGGAATATTTTTACATCTTTCAAATGAACTTGCAAATTTTCATGTCATTGATCATATCATTTTACTCTCAAAATTACCTTCATGTGGAATTCGTGGTGTTGTTCTAGATTGGTTATGTTCGTACCTTAAACAACGATCTCAGAGAGTAGAAATACCTTACTTGAATAATGGAACTTTATGTACACAACTTTCTGATACTTTGCCAATTGCATGTGATGTTCTGCAGGAATTGTTTTTAGACCCTATTCTCTTCCTACTATACGTAAACGATATGCCCGCGACGATTAGAAACGGAAGAAGTTCTCTTTGCGGACGATACGAATATTTCTTGCAATAAAGAAACCGTACAATATCAGGTATTTCAAATTTGATTCGTAATAAGAAATTAATAGTAAATGAAAAGAAAACTGTTTCGCCGCAGTTCTCCATTTCAAATAAACAGCGCGATACTTCACTGAAAATGAACGGCGTGCAATTAACTGATGTTGGGGTAACAACATTTTTGGTTTTTTCAATTCAGTCAAACCTTAAATGGAACGTCCATTTAAATTAAGTGAACACTAAAAACACTAAGTTTCTTATGCTACGGTTTCATAATTCTTTCAAATTCAGTCAGCCTCCACACTTCTTGTTGTGTACATTTCGCGAATGTTCATTCCCGCCTGAGATATGGCATAATATTCTTGGAAAATACATCTTATAGCTCCCAGACTTTTAGATTACAAAAAAGAATTGTACGAATAATAAGCAAATCCCACCCACGTGATTCTTGTAAGCCTCCCTTTATTAATCTAGGTACTTTACCTCTACCTTGTCTCTTTATATATGAATCAGTGGTTTTTGTCAAAAATGACTTGCTTAAGGGCGGGAATATACTTTCAGCAAACGCCATTGTCTATAACTACAACACTCGACGTAATAATCATGTTCATCAGGTAACAGTATCCACAGCTCACTACAAAAAATTTTACATATAATACATGTACATTATTTTACAACACCTTGCCAGATGTTATTAAACTATTAAATTCGATACAAATGTTTAAGTCCCAAGTAACATATTTTCTGCTGCATGACTGTTTCTATTCAATTATCGATTACACCGAGCACTAATAGGAAAGTAATATTAATTTTAACAATGACATTTAACTTCTTACATATATCATTATCGTATCTATATCATTTGGATTGTATAATTGTAAAGAACCTGTAATAAGTATTGTACTTCAGCTTCTGGGTAAATGACCCATCTCGATCAGGTTTTCGTTTAGATTCCCTGATTCTCGAGCAAATGCTGAGATAGACCCTGGAACACGAACGGGAAGATATTACATTTGGCTGCTGAGTCGTAGCGCTGATACCGGTTCTTGCTTTCATCTGTTTCTGCAGACGACCTCCGTCGAAGTGTGTCCCGCAGCAGTGCTGCAAGCCAAATGAGATAGAGCGCTTTCTTGTGAGATCCCTGCGCGTTTACTCGCGTTCTTTATTTCGCGCATATTTCACGACACGTAATAACTTTTATTTCCTGAAACATTCCCAAGAAAACATTTGTCCACGAGTATTTTTTAGATAACATGATTACATTTGATAGCTGAAAAGCTTTTCATTTTCAGTCTTTCAAAGAGTAGGTTTCATGAGTGATTAGAAGGGATGCATTTTTTGATAAGCCTTTATGATTTTTGTATTCATAAACTGGTGGTGCTAAGAAGCACATACTTTCTCTCCG